CCTCTGCTGCTCTGTTTTTAGCAAGGTTTGTTAGAATATCTTGACTGCCATATTGTCAAATGCATACTTTCATGTAATATTTAAGAATCCACTAAATAGTCCTATGTATTCTTTATATACATACATTTTCAAAAGGAGCACATCAACTTCAGAATAGTGTCTTTTTCTAGGAGGTGGGGAATGGTATTAGGGAGGAGTAGAAACCACGCTTCGAATTTGTTCGTAATATTTTATTTTTTAAAAATGAAGTTAAATATGACAAAATGGTGTGATTTAATAAAACTGAATAATGGGTGTGTGGGTGGTTGCTATTTTCTATTCCTGTCTCTAGGTTTGATATATTTGATATTAAAATGGTATAATGTAATAGTGAAACAGGTTTCAAATAAATATTGCTGATGTGAAAATCCTATCATAGCCAGTTTTTGTTTACTTTTGTGATAAAAGAAAGGAATTGTGATATTTTTAACAGTATTATAATCTATTTAACACTGAATTACAGGGAGATGGATTGTGTTATCAGGCCATTTTAGAGGCAGGGTTGGATAGAAGGGATTCTGGTATTTTAAGGAGATAGTGTTCTGTCTCTAGTAGCTTTGCAGAAAGATTCAGGCTCATCTGAATTTTTCCATTGTCAAACTATGCAGAGAATTTTTCTAGAGCCCTCCTTATTTATGTCTTCCTGTTCATTTCCATAGCCCAATGATTTGCTGTTTGAGGTTTAGAAACTAGATTTCCACCAGGTTGCAGGCATCACAATATTGAATAGGTGGGACATAATCCCTGTCTTCAAGGAGCGTGGACATTAAATCCTCTTCTAGGGAGACGTAAGATGTTCTGCAAGCACATGGGAGAGGCACCTCCTCCAGGACTGGGCTTGCACTCCAGCAAGACCCTGGTAGAGGACATCTAAGCTGATACCTAGAGGGTAAGTAGGAATTAGCCAGGTGTGAAGGGGATGTCTAGGGGGACTAAGCAAGGGGACAGGAAGAAGAAAGGAGTGAAACATAACAAGGGAGGCAATGCAAATACTAGTCAGCATGACGCAGCACCGCATTAAGGAAAGAAGAGAAGGTGAAAGGAAGAAAAATGATCGACAACAGAGTCTTATGACCATTGGGAAACGTAGTGTGGAATTGGAAGAATTAAAATTAAGTTCTCTTTCATCCTCTTACTTTGAAGTCTTGAACAGATCATTTAGTGTTTCAGGCCTCAGTTTTCTAGCTTCTAAAAGTTGAGATGATAGTTGTTTTACATGATACTAAAACAAGGTAACATATGAAATGTGTCTTGTAAGTAGAAAATATCAAATGTATACATATGAAAAATGAAGGAGGAAGAGAGGGAAGGGAAATTAAAGCAATAAAAACAGGGAGAATGTGAGGAAAGAGTAATACAACCAAAGAGCAGTCGTTACGGTTGGTTTGTCTTTATTGCATCTAATGGAATGATACGTAGCTCTGGGACACAGTCCTCTTGGTGTTGATAGTGGCTTTCACGTCCTCACTGTGCGCCAGCAGGTATTCCGAAAAATAAATAATATGCTAG